TATAAACTAAGACAATGAAATAACGATTTTTTATATCTGAATGAAATTGGTAATAAAATTAACTTTTCCAATAACATACCTGAACCATTAATATTGAATTCGATCGATCACATACTAAAAATTTAGATTATAACAGAATATTTCGAATATCGGTCTTTTTAAAGTATATATACTGTTTAATTTGTCGTGTGGAGTAATTAATATTTTTTAAGATATTTAATTTTGTTTTTCCAATAAATAAATATTATATAAAATAGTTTTGAAGATTAAGATTCATAAACGAATTGTATTTGCTATTTGGTAAATATAAGCAAAGTGAAATTTAAACAATTATTATTTAAAAATTAGTAATCAGTTTCTTTTTTAAGCAAGAAATTTGTATGATAAAGTTATTCAATGCATTGAACATATTTGGAAGATATGAAATATTTCATAGGAATGAGTATCGGCGCGGATGATTTGAACGAACGAATGGACCATTCGTTTATATGATGCGATTTTTGAAGTTTTCCGTCTATTCGGCAAAATGCCTTCTAAAACCGAGATTAACAGCAAAAGAGAAAACTGGTTTTCCAAAAAGGCAAGGAAAAAAATCAAAATCAAAATCGAAAAAAAAGGAGCGAGGAAGAAGTATAAGACTGCAGAAGAGGAAGTGATGATACGTCTGAGCGATTGAAATTTTAGATGAAAGTAAAACAAAAAAAAGAAAAGAAAAAAATTGCATCCTTGTTGAATCAGACCATAAAATGAATTTCTGAGTAATTTGTTTATAAATTTTTTGAAGTTGCAATTTTTTCCATAATAAATGATTGTTACATTTTGTTTCTTTCAACCATTTTTACTCTTCACTTTGGTTTATTTTGACCGAAATGAACCGTTAAAATTTTAAAGAGGATGAGCACTTTTGATACCGTGTTCGGAGTTAGAGAAAACAAAAAACTGTGGAGGTAAAAAGTTAGGATATGATGATTTTCAAGGAGAAACGATCTAATTTATTGGGCACATTAATAAGATGGGGTAAGGCAATCATCCGACATTCGCCGATCATTTGTTTCTGTTAACGACATGAATAAATCAATTCGACGCTATCTAACCAATGTTGCCATTTTTGATAATATCCAAATTTTTGCCAACCAAAAATTGTGACAGTCAGGGACGGTGGAATGCCTTTCTTTTTAGTAACGTTGTGGAATGAATTGTTTTCTTTCCAAAAATATTTTTTCTGTAAACTATTTTAGCTTCTCAAAAGAGATGTGTTTTTTTAATACAAAAAAATGCTTCATTTTTTATTTTAATTTTTCCTAGTTAAATTATTGAAAGTATTCGAGAATTCGCAGGATATGATCATTGATTTGAAGATGTTACATTAATGCGCATTCTGTAGAATTTGTTAAATTTTAAAAATTTCACGTCTAACTTTTTTTCTTTATCGCCTTAAAGATCTTTTTAGATTTTCTTTGATCGGATCTGCTATGTTCCAATGCCTGGAGACTACTCGTTTTATCATCTTATGTATGATTTCATTCCCAGATGAATTCTTCTTCATAGCTAATTTCATTTCAATTTCATCCTCTTGAAGCCCTTTTTCTATAGTAAGAGTTGTTTTTAAAAATGAATTAATCATTAAATTGCAAAAAAAAGATAAATGAATGAAAATCATCTCCACTTGATCATTTAGTACAATATGTCTCCAATAGTAGTGTGTCATGGCCATGAACATAAAATTTAAGGAAATGATTTATGATGCCAGCAGCCAATCATTTGATTTTAATCCTAGTATATTTTGTTGAAATATTGTATCGACAAATGGATCAAATAATCCTTGAAAGTCCTTTTTTACTCTTACCTATTTTAGATCTTATACTTTTATAAATTTCTGGGGAACCTTCTTGCTGGAGAGTACAAATATTTTAGAACTTATTATCTTTTTCTTTCCTTTCCTTATTTGTTGGCCAATATTCATGAATTGCATTTTACATTAAAAATTTTAATTTTATTCTTACCATTTTTCTTTTTAATCTTACCTTTTGCATTTATTTTATTTTGTTTAATTTCTTCCGCAGATGAATCATCGTCCTGACCCTTAATGACTGTTTTCATGTTGCTTACTATTTGAGTAGCATTTATATTATCAATTATTGTGTTCGTTTTAATGCGTTTGCAATGAAATCAGGTATGTATCATTGTTATGCTAATAAAAACATTTGAAAAGTGATATGAAATGTGTTAAATGATATGAAAATGTCATTTTGTTTCTTCTTTTCTTGTTTATCTTTTATGGAAAAAATATTCATTGTGGGAATGATTTAAAGATTTGGAGATAAATTTTTCGAGTATTACGGTAGCACTTGTTGCAAGATTTCTCAAGAGTGAACAGAGAGAAAAGGAGAAAGAGCTGGAGGAAATGATGATCTGATGGTGTGCGGATTCTATTACTATTAGCGCTTTTGCTGTTAGTGTCAAGAAAGTTTTGTTGTTTTTTTTTACTTCCTTTCTGTTTTAATTTGTTATAACCTTGAGAGAGAAAATCTTTCTCTATCATTGTTCTTAGTCACCTTTCACGCATTTCCACATCTTCACGTCTATATTATTGCTTTTTGGGAAGAAATTCTTTTGAAAAGGAAAAAACTCAACGCTTCATTTGTCTCAAGAAGTTTCACAATAATTTCAACAAACTCCCGTACAATTTAAGAAATTTCATGCAAATTTTTCGATGTCAAAGCGCGAATAGTTTCAGTGGCTATAAAACAGGCAGCACTAACTCATGTAATGCTAAGAAATTGAAGTATTTGAAATGGATTCAATGGAAAAAAAAGCATAAAAAGGGGAGAAATTGATTGATGATTTCGCGTTTTCGGTTTTGTGCTAAATGTATGGATGTATATATATATATATATATATAGACACACACACACATACACACATACACACATACACACACA